GAAAGGGCCTGGACAAGCTCTCGCCCTAGCCCGGCGTCGCTTCCCAGCACGTTTGCCCTTTCTGTTGTTCTCGGGGTTTTCCGGCGCACCCTGGGGTGCTTCACAGCACCGTGCCTTGCTCAGTAAGGTAAAGTAAAATGAATGCCCACCTTTTGGAATAATGTCATCCCGAAAGATAGTTGGTGATACCCCAGGGTGCCATGAAACCAGGGTAGATAATGACTGTTCTATTCTGAGTCAATTAAACATAAAAAACAGCCACCACAAGACCTCCGCGGATTCTTGATGCTCGGCTCTGCCCCTTTCCACCTCATGGCGACCTCCCCTGCCTGCCAGGGGCGGGGCGCCATTGTGCAAGGGAAGCACAGGGGCCTCGTGCTGATCAACCACTGTTCCCACGGAGGAGGACCTCAGAACTCCTGAGCCCAGGCGTACCTCTCGGGCTGGGCACTCCCTCCGTCCCAGTATGGGGACACACAGAGGCCAGCCATAGCTAGAAGCCAAATCTGGGAACGTATTGGGTGGGGGGGGGGAGTGCCACATTATTCACTGCAGATTAGTAAGCAAACACAAGCAAACATGTGCTTACTTTCTTTTAAGGTCATCCGTCCCTGCTGCTTTCCCCGCCTGACCTGTCATTGACTGGCCAGGGAGGGAGGCGATCACAGTGCCAGCAGCAAGCAGGTGTTCGGCCCTTCTATTGGGCTATAGAAACACCCTGTCTGAGCTTCGGGCAAACACCATCCCTGTGTCCGTGGTCCTTCCCTCTGTCCACAGGACAGCCCCTCGTGGGAGGACGTCCTGTCCTGCTTCCGCTCCTCCTGGAACTGTTGTCCCATGATGCCACTGAGAGCCCTGATGGCACACTAAGCGCTCCGCTGCGCACCCAGAAGGTCCGTGGCTTGAGCCCCCGACGGCACCGTGGGACAGAGCTCGTGGGCTGGTCCTGTGAAGACTGCAGCCTCAGGGGCACTGTGGGGAACCCTCTGTCCCACGGGTCGCCGGGAGCCAGCAGCCACTCCGTGGCACCTCAGGACAACGTCATTGTCGGCCAGCCTTTGTAAGTGTCGGAGAGGACAGCCACAGGCCGGCCGCTGCCGGTGGGGGAGAGAAACTTGAGGAAGGAGCTGTGTTCTTCGGTGAACTGGTTTGTGCCTATTTTGATGACCAGAAAGCGCTGTCGTCTGCTCAGCTCTTACAGGTCTCATCACTTCATGTTCCCCACCTTCACCTTGACGCCTTCACGCCTCCCTGTTCTCGCCCCTACGGGGTGGGCAGGACCCGCCGCGGATTTGTGCGAACCTTACGCACAGGTTTGGTATGCTGCCTGCCTGGCCTTGGCGGTTCCCTGTCGCCATGCTTGCGAGGGTGAGCTCCAGCCTGCGTGACCTCATCGAGAGGCCGAGGTTCCGAAAGGCCCGAGCCACCCTCTAAAGTGTCCCCCCAAGCTGCACACTAACCATCTCCTAATCAAACCCCATTCTTCCCCCAAAGGTTGATTCACGCGATAGCAGTAATCAGCATTCTCTTGGAGAACCACAAAATGAGTCCAATGAGCCGTTTGCCACTTTCTTTTTTATTAAAAACCGCTTACATGTGCACTGCAGTTTCTTTTAAGCCTGGCCTCACCGTGGAAGGTCCCGGGGCTGTTAACCTGTGCCGAGTCACGTGGCTGTGTCTGCTGATTGAATGTGAATTGGGGATGGAGAATTGAGGTCGAGAGGGAGAAGAAGCTGGCTCTTGCCAGTGGATTTCTCGTCCTGTACATAAATCATAAATCCCCTGCGGTGGAGAAGCAGGGCCAGCCTGCCTGTCTGTCTACCTTTTTAGCAAAGATTTAGTAGGAATCCAATGTGTTTGTGTCCAGAAGCATGTCATTTCATCACCGTTTTTCCTCCATCTTTCGCATCAGCCAAAGAGTCAAAGGAGCTGCGATGTAAACCACGGGGGAAGCCAATCTGTCCAGGGCCTAGGTCATAAACAGGATGGTTGAATATTAGTATAAGTCAGACCCACCTGCAAACGTGTTGTAAATACAGATTCCTGAGGCCTGCTGCCTGAGAGCCTGACCCAGGGGGTCTGAGGACCCTCTGGTTCAGTCAGTAACCTTTGCAGGTGATTCTGATGCAGGTGGCCCTCAGACCGTGCATTGAGAATCGCCGTTTACAGAAAAGCATTCTCTTTGGCCAGCCATCGCCACCAGCCACTGGCAAGTCCATGCTGACTCATTGCGCTGCGCGGTGTCAGAGCGGGGCTGAGCGCCATAAGGGCTTCCAGGGTTGATTTGGGAACTCGGTGGTCAGGCTTTCCTTCCAAGGTGTCTCTGGGTTAGCAGCCCAGCACGTTGACCACTTACACCACCCAGGGACTCCCCTCTTACTCGGCCCCTTGAGCTGGGGCCTAGCTGAAGAAAACCTAGCGACGGGAAGTGACTGGACCTGGTTAGTTGATGAGGACAAAGCCTGGACTAGACCTGAAGACAAGCTCTGCCCCAATCAAAGGAACTCAACGAGCTGTCACAAAGGCATGGGACTATCTGTGAGTCTCTGTCACGATTCCCTGGACTAGACCTGAAGACAAGCTCTGCCCCAATCAGAGGAACTCAACGAGCTGTCACAAAGGCATGGGACTATCTGTGAGTCTCTGTCACGATTCCCTGGGATGCGCTGGGCAGGTTTGCAAGAGAAAATCAAATTATAGATCTTTTTCTGGGGGTTAGATTAGTTGTACTGGAGTACAGTCTGGACTCAGAGCATCAGGTTCAAATGCCCCCATGCACCACTGCCACTAGACAAGCCCTCAGAGGTAGAGGTGCGTGAGCCTTCCACTCTTTGGCCTGAGTGCAGAAACCAGGAAGCCCCATGCTCTGCCTTCCACACCAGCGCCCGGTCTGAGCTCTTTCCTTTCTACCCTCGACCCCCGCTCTGCAAAGCACCTTGTATGGTTCCCTGCTGGCCAGTGCCTGGGAGCGTCCATGCAGAGACAGAGCTGGGCAGCCGGAGTTCCCGGCTCAGCTTGTTCTCTTGGCATTACCCCACGCTCCCCTAGGGGGTACATGTGCCCACAGGGCTCACAGCCTCTTCCTGTCTCGCCTGGTTCACCTGACTCAGTACTCATGGAGGAACTGGGCAGAAGATCTCCAGTACACAATGATAGTTTAATGAACGCCATTGTGATGATTGGGCTCCACCTTTCTCAAAGACCAATTGGGAGTGGACTTGCTTTGCAACACGACAGACACAAATTAGACATAAGGAAGGACAACCACACAGAGAAGAATACTAAGGAAACTTGTAGCATCTTCTTTCCCCTCCAAAAAAACCCCACTGTTATTGAGTTGTTTCTGATTCGTAATGACCATATAGAGTGTCTCTGAGACTTTGTAGATCTATGGGAGCAGCTTCCTCTCTCTCCAGTGGAACAGCTGGCAGATTCGAACCACCAACCTTGCGATCATCCATCCAATACTTACTGAAGGCACCATCAGGGCAGGACAGACTCCCATCAGATGTGGACACTTGAGGTGCCGAGAGAACAGGAAGGCCATCTTCTCAGAACAAATCCTGGTGATTTGATATTTTGGAAAAGCACCGGTGACTTTTTTTAATGTTCCTTCTGTGGCGCCTGCATTTTTGCCTTAACAGCAGCAGCCCAAGCGGCCAGTGAGCCTGAAGGTCTGAGCTCCCAGCTTGGCTCAGATACGCTGTGTGGCCTCTGGCTGCTCACTCCGCATCTGGGTCTCTGTACCTCAGTGAATAGGGTTGGTAGATTGTGTTCTAATTTCCGTGATCCCAATAATTTAGCTTTCTATAACCTGTCCCCCCAGCCCCCAGCCACCACCAAAGTGTCTTACTGAAGCTTTGTTGAATGAATAAGTTGAATTAAGAAACAACTAAATGGTGAGAATCTAGAAGCCCTTTCTGCCAATGTTCCCCTGGTTTGGGGTAGCCCCCTTTCCCAGGACTATCTCTGGGCTGTCTGATCATGATGGTTTACACATTTAGAGGTGTCTAAACTCAAACAAGAGAGGCCCTGGATGCATAGTGATTACACAATGGGCTGCTAACCCCAAGGTCTATGGTTTGAATCCACCAGCCACCTCTCAGGAAAAAGACATGGCTTTCTACTCCTGTGAAGAGGTAAGATCTCAGAAACACGCAGGGACAGTTCTAACCTGACCTATAGGGTTTCCATGAGTTGGAATCAACTTGATGGCAGTGAGTTTAAGAAACTCAAATGAAGGGAGCCCTGGTGACATCGTGGATCATGTGTTGAGGTGCTCCCGAAACATTAAAAGCAGCAACAACAACAACAAAACAGCGCTCAGGAGAAAGATGAGGCTTTCTGCCCCTGGAAAGATTTACAGCCTCAGAAACACAAAGAGACAATTCTACTCTGCTCTGTAGAGTCACTGTGAGTCAGAATGGACTCTAACAGTGAGTTTGTGTGAACGCAAATGAAGGAGCCCTGAGAGTTCTGTGTTGAGGTGGCCAACAGCAAGGTTGGCTGTTCAAACCCACCAGCCACTCTGCTGGAGAAAGATGAGACTGCCAACTCCTGTAAGGATATATAGTCTCAGAAACCCTGTGAGGGTCAGGCTGAACCGGAGTCAACTCAATGACAGTGGGTTTGATTTTGACCTCCAAACAAAGGTTGAGCACTGAACTGTTAACTGAAAGCTTGGAGGTCCGAACCACCCAGAGGCACCTGAAGACACCCCTCACAATCTTATTCCCAAGAGAATGCTCATGTGGTAACCGTGAGTCAGAATTGACTCAATTGCAACTGCTCAGCTTCCGATGAACATGAGCTGGAGCCTCAACACGCACCTCCTGCCACAAGGGCTTGTTCCAATCTGCTACCTGCTGTGGCTCCTGAGAGTCGCTCTCAGCATTGAGAAACCACACGGACATCCCCAGGGTGATGGCCTCTGGTTCGATAGCCCTGCGTCCCCATCTCGCGTGGCCGCCCCACTGATGAGCTCTCTCTGCTCCTTGCAGAAGGCAGACCTGGCCGTGGCCGGCCTCACCATCACAGCTGAGCGGGAGAAGGTGATTGATTTCTCGAAGCCATTCATGACTCTGGGAATTAGCATTCTTTACCGCGTTCATATGGTAAGAGACTTATTTTATAAGCATTTATGTCATTACAGTTATTTGCATGCAAACACTCAGCTATATGGTAATAATGAGTGACTCACGGAAATATTTAGATTCGAAGACTTAGATGCAAATGGGCTGGGTTATTTTTTCCCCTGCATCCAGCTGCATGGACTTGTACACTGTGGGGATGGAAAAGTCACACCTGTGGGCTTATCCATGAACATGGCTTCCACCTCACTGAACCGGGGTGGCCAGGAGTGACTGCTCAGCCATTGGGACAAAGCGTGTCAAGGCTGGGCCCTTGCTCACTCTGCTTTCTCCTGGGCTTGGGGCTCTTCAGCTCCCATAAAGTCAGCGCAGATTCTCCTGGTCCACCCCTCCAACCTGTTGGCCCCATCCAGTCCCGCCCGTCTAGACGATCTGTGCTGATGAATAAAGAGTAGCTAATCTAATGTCATATACCAGGCCTGTCTCCTCTTCTGCCCATCTCCCCCACCAAAAAAAAAAGGAATCTGAAAATATATCAGTAGGGCAGCTGAAGATGGATGTCACCCTTAGCCATTGTATACTCTCCATTGGGTAGGGGGTCAGCAGCTTCAGTACTCAGCTGGGACTGAAAACTATGCGCATTGGTTAGAGCCAGCATTGCTATTCATATGCCCATTTGTGGATGAAGGAGGTTGGTTTTTTCCCCAATGGTTTTATTGGTATGTAATTTACATTTTGTACAATTCAGTAGTTAATCCCATCAAGAAGAGTTGTGCAATCATCATCACCTTAATCAGTTTTAGAATGTTTGCTTCCTTCTTGTACCCATTGTTATTAGCTCCTCATTCCCCCGCCCCAACCCTACCTCCCCTGCCATATCCCCAAGGAACCATTAATCCAATTGCTGTCACTATAGATTTACCTATCCTGCATTTCAGGTACAGGAAAACATTTCTTTTTTAACTAACAATAATAACAAAGTAAAACATACAAGCCTCAATGGGAAAGAAGGCAGAAGATGTTAACAGCTAGAATCAATCTAAATGGGTCCCCGGGGAGGTCAGATTAGTTTGATCCTTCCCAGCCCCTCTCCCCACCCTCCTTTTCACGTTGATAATAGTACCTGCTCAGTGAGCACCTACTGTGTGCCAAGCCCTATCCTAGGCCCCACGAAGGGCCAAGTTGTTCTGACTTGAGGATCGAGGCGAGTACAGTGCGGACGGATTTGAACACCTTGACAAGCCTCTCGCAAGCACGTGGAGAGCAGGCTTCACGCCCAGACGTGCGCGTACTGAGCCTGCACGTTCTGCAACCTGGCCACCACCCAAATGTGTGTGGTCCTTTCTCTTCTCCTCAATCCTATGTGATTGTGTTTCCCTGAGGGCTTCCACAGCAGTCCCGGCACCCTTCAGCAAGCTCAGCGTCCGCAGATCCATTCTCTGACCATGCCCGAAGTACCCCCTGTTCCGAAGTGGTGGGTCTGTTCATTCCTCTGACCATTGAACTTGTGCCAGGCCCTTGTGGGCACCCTTTCCCATCTGGTCCTCAGGACTGTCATGTGAGGAAAGAGGGCAGCAGGGATTATCCTTCATGTCAGAAAGACAGGGAAACCATGGTCACACTTGAACGCTTACAGAGGCTGAGCCTGGAACCCAGGTCTCCGACGGCGGGGGACAGTGTTCCTGTCACCACTGCATCAGCATGCCCATACCTAGGCAGTCTGTAGGCCAGCACCATTTCTTGGGTTCCTTCCTGAGCTCTGAGAAGCCATCTGAAGGAAATGGAGACACACAGACCCTCTCCTGCCGTGGGCAGGTCTCAAACCCAGGCTGGGACCTTGATTACTTGGTTGAGGGCATGAGAGCCCTACTCGTGAGCCTGTGACCCATCAGGTACCTGGTGGCTGAAGGCACGTGCCCGGGAGTTTCCACCTCCTGGTAATCCCTGTGCTAGGTGACCTTCCCCACATAGCACATCACTGAATATCAACTCTGGCCAGAATTAAACTCCCATTCATCAATCCTGTGGGCATCCCAAATTTGATAACTGCAAGTGTCCCACCATCCTCTCGCTGTGTCCGTTCCCCTGTCTGGTCGGCCCCTCGCCGATCCCAGCCTCTGTCAGGAGGCACCACATTGGCTGCTCAGATCTGACTTACAACAGAGAGCCATGCTGAGCCAAAAACGAACAACGGACACTAAGCAGAGCTGACAGTGTATGCGTTGATTCAACAAATATTTACTGGTACATTCTGTGTGTGAGGCACTATGCTTAGAAAGTACCAGAAAGTCCGCTCTCTGACACTCTGTCTAGTTCTGTGTTCCTGAGGTCCCCCGGCTGATGCGGCGGGAAGCGAGCATCTGGGTGCAAAGAGAAAAGCCTTCACCCACCGCAGAACGCCTGGCTAAGGCTGACTGCAAAGCCCCCAGACGGAAAGCATGCCAAGCGTGCCGCTGAGGATGACCTCCAAGAGCTGGTGAACTCCCAGCAAACTAAGGTCGCCCAGACTTTCACATGAATATGGGCCATCAGGTGTTCATTATGAGATACTTGTCTTCGTCCCAACAGTGGGGATAAGCTCTGCTTCTGCCCAGGTATCCCTAGGACCAAAACAAGAAGTATTTGCTCCTCTTACCACCTACTCCCTGCCCCGAGCATCTGGTTCTGGCCATGGCATTTGGTACTGTCGGTCTCCCTGCTTCCTGAAGCTCCCTCTGCCCCGGTTTCTCCCGCTGTGTCCCTCCTGCTCTCTGATGATCACCCCCTCTATCATCCCTGTTGATGCCTCGCTCTCTGCTTGCCCCTTGCATATCCAGAGCCCCTTTTTATTCTACCTGGGTAATCATTCTCTCTCCCTAATCTGTAAGTCTCACCTTCTCCTCTGACTTCCAAGAGCAAGTCCACCCTCGATGTCTCCAGATCCTTCATAAACCGTGTCTGGAGTTGCATGCAGTCTGTTTCCCACTCGCTCTTGTCCAACCTTCAGTTCAGTGGTCTGACTTGTCCTCAACCCTTTCTTGCCTCGCACATCCCCGTTGGTCATCTCACTTCTCAAAAGGTTTCTCTCTCCTGCGTGGTTCGGGCTCTCATTATCTCTGACCTGAGCCACTCCCATCCCAGTGGCCTGAATGCTCCTCGCAGCCAGGGCTGCCCCTGTCCCTACTGTGTCCCCATCAAAGGACCCCACATACTCTAAGCCTTCAGTAGGAGCAACAGAGTGAGTCACAGACTCTGGGCTCATGGATTGTCCGGGGTCTCTTCCAAGATCTGCCCCTGGTTAGCGGCATGACACATGCATCTCAGTTTCTTCATCTGTAAATGAGTTGTTATGGCGATCACACGAGGATAGATAGGCTATGAAATTATCCCAGTTCCTGGCATAATGTATGCACACGGGCTAGCTTTTCTATTGAATAAAGGTAGGTGAATTCCTCCCGATGGCAGTCCACCATCCACCCTCCACACTCTGCTTAATGTTTTGTTCTTTAATACAGAGTAATAATTCATATTGCATTTGACCCCCAACCGTAAGATTATTTTCGTTGCTACTTCATCACTGTCATTTTGCTACTGTTATGAATTGGGCGACCCCTGTGAAAGGGTCGCTCGACCCCCAAAGGGGTGCACAGGTTGAGAAGCGCTGGTGCACAGGAAGATCGGTCATCTTAGCCTGGAGCGTGAAAGGCATCTCTCCTACTCTGGTTCCAATGCCTTGCCCACAGGCACCATTCCCTCAGGTGTGGACCGCTTTCCCATGAGGCCCGCCTCGTCCTGACTCAACTCTTTGTCTAGGTCCTGCTGGTTCTTGCTGCTGAACCAGCTAACGAACTCTGCCCTAGCCCTTGTTCAAGCCCTTCAGGACCTACTTCAAATGGCACTTGCTGGTCCAACGGACTGCTGGATGGAGCTTCTTGCTCTGGGTCGCTGCCCACTGCCTTGGTTTACAGTACTTTCGGGCTGTGCTCCATATTGCTTGATTTTCTGTCTCTCCAGTAGACCCCAGTGAGAGATAGGGTAGGAGAAGGTGTCCTTTGGTCAGGCTGTACGCGTTTAGGATATGGTTTTGAATATGGAAAGTGGGATCATCCTTAACATACAATGTTTACTGAATTGTTGTGGAAGGAGAAGAGGAAGGGAGAGAGGAGGGGAGGGAGGCAATGAGCCTGTGGTCTGGTGGGCAGTGAAGACCAACAGTCCTTTGTGGGTCCTGGCAGTCCCACTGAGCCCTACAAGCTTGGGCTTCTGTCAGAAAGCCCTTAAGGCCAGGACTGCAGATAGCAGAGTGAGATTTTTTTTTCCCCTTTCTGGCCTTTAACCCATTGGTCTTAAGACCAAAAAGAGATGTGAGGCAGAAGTTTCAGGTAACCCAGCTACATCTGCTAGACCTGGCCCTGGCTGCCACCAAAACATCCTCCCTGGTACCTATGTAGCCATATGCCCCCCGAGAAGCTATCAGAATCCCCAGCTGGGACCAGGTGAGCTTCCACATCAAACAGAAGACCTGGCACATTGCACCTTGAGACTCTGAGGTATTCCTTGACACTCAAGGAATGGGAATCAAGTAACAGACGTCTGGAGTTAGGACTCTCTGGACTTCTCTGTCGTCTTGGCGCATTTCTGCTCGGTGCGTCTTTGCTGGAGTAAGGTAACCCAGCGGGCCTTGTGCAGTGGAGGGGTCTGGGGTACTGATCCCCACTGCGAGCTCTCTGATACATGTGACTGGCAGGAAGAATAACAGGGAAAGGCGAGCGTGTCTGCATTTGACATTAGAATGGGCCGCGGAGGTTCTTTTTTTCGTTCGTTCTTCTCCGTGGCAGCAATTTGCCTAATGATGTTTTGCTCAGACTGGGATTGAAGGAAGCTTGCATTCCTCCAGCACGTCCTGCTGTGGGGCTGGGCTAGAAAGACAGCTTCTGAGTGTGCTGGAAGCCAACCCGGAAGTGAACACGTGGCACCCACAAGGGTCAGTCGCCAAGGGTTGATACTTGGCTCCAGTTCATACCCGGGCAGGTGTATCCCCAATG